ATATATATATATAAAATGGTGATTTTAATTGAGGAAAGAAGGTATTGGAGTTTAGTGAGCAGCCTATGTCGATACCACACATGTAGAAATTGGCCTATTGTTCAACTTTAAGGATGCCAGCTCTTGTTGCCCTCTTTAAATGCTGGATAAACAAGCAATTACTATGTTTAAATTGTTTTTTATATTCATTTGACCCAACTGTGAAAAATTTGCGGTCTCGGTGGGAGTCGAGCTCACATAGCAGGGAAGACATATGCGTAGCCAACACTCTACCATGGAGCTACGAGACTCCCTGTGTGCGAAATCTTTTCACTATTGGGTCAAGTGAATTATTCAAGTCTGCTAACCTCTTCTAATAATGTTTTTATATAATTGCACCTTGTATAAACCAATAGGGCCTTCTAACCTAGCGCATAAGAGTGGAGATTCGATCAGATTTTAGGAAATTTCTGATGCCAGGATTATTGAAGTTTCTGCTATTACATACAAATTTGGACAAATGACATCATATACAGCATTCTTTGTGACATATTTCGTAGCCGTTTGCGAAGAGTAAATTTCAGATACTTGTGTTGGAACGCACAGAGGAAGGTAAGCGTTTGACATGCTAATCCCAGAAAGCCTAAGCGTACTTTAAGCGTTCGCAAGGTGGGTCTTAGGTGCAATAGTTCACAAATTTCTGAGTAAGATATGAAAAATGGGAAAGCTGTTGCACAAAATATACTTGATGGCTGCAAAGGACATATTTACACATGTGAGAGAAAGATTTTAGTGAAAAAATTTTATAGGCAATCATGGCGAAAAACTGCACTATCAAACACGCATTTACACTGGTCTTAGTAAAGTGGAAACTGAAGAAGGCAAACACTCTTTCGTACAAAACGGGTCAATAAGATTTCAACAGCCGCGCAATGTACCTCAGCACTACAATTTAACCCACATTAAGCACGGCTCCCGATAGTTACTCACAGAATGCCATCGAAAGTTCGAACTTGGCGGATCAATGAATGGCGTTGCATGTGTTTTTTTTCACAGCTGGACCTGTGCGCAGGCTGCACCTGCAGCAGGCGTTAATGAAACAGTAAACGGGTTAACACAGTGGATTCTTTTTTGCCTTTCTCCGTTACTCCATGGAATAATAGAAGAAGTATTTGACGCTCACCTTCCCAAGCATGAAAATCTATGGATATGATATGCGATAAGAGTATTCTTAATGAGAATCGATATAGGTTGCACTGTCTGCACCGTAAAGTAGCCCACGTTTCGTTTCAACAATCCGCCTGCTCTTTGAAAACAGTTCGATTATTCTGACCGTCGGCGATTAGAAATTGAGAAAAAGGGGAGATAAATGAAGATAAAAGTAAAAAAGAGTACAATGCACTGCATAGAATCGCTACTGAGGCGAGTGCTCGTATTTCAGCTGTGCACCTAGTATAGACGAAAAGGGCTTTTCGCTCATCAAAAACGTACCTTTATTTTACTGAGAATTTCAACTCTTATTGGAATTCATCGTCAGAGATAAGGGCGGCAAAATAAAAAGCAACAACGAAAAGGGGTAGGAGCCAATCATACACCAGTAACGCCAG